TTTGATCTAAGCGGTGAATATCCATTCCCAGCTCTTTCATACTTACTACAACCTGTAGAGGTTTTCCAGAAGGCTGGACCCTAGTAACAGCTTTCGAAATGATAAGATATCCAATAGCGAACTGGACTTCCTTTAACCCTACCAGTAAAGATTGCAAGAACTTCTTTGATTCATCCACCGCTTCCACGAACTTTTCCGATTGACTTTCCGGTGACGCTAACTCTTCCATAAGTGTGCCCAAGGGCACTCCTGGGGATTTTGCCTTTGCCGATTTCTTACATTTGGGCCGCCTTATTTGTTGAAGCTTTTCACGACATCCAAGGATCTGATCAAATGGAAGACTGATTTTCCCGAATTTGATAGAAATTGCAGCATCCATGATTACATCTGCCTCCTCCTCTAGAACACCGTAAACATTGAACATACAGTGATCCATAAGCTCAACAGGATCTTTCTTCTTCTGGTGGAAAAACAACATGCTCTTGGCAGTAAACATCCATTCGATGGGTTTCTGGTTCTCTTTAAGATCCTGACAATGGTCAAACATCCGATTCCGATCGATTTTCTGCCGATTATCCAGCATTGTCGTCATGCTGCTAATCTGGATGCTCCCCACATCATGAACATTCACGGTTGTATTTGTGAATATGATGTCTACCATTTGAACCCATTGAAGATATTTATGAAGCTTTTTCAGCTTCTCCTTCAGCTTTGATTTTCCTCCACGCATCGCGCCCCTATTCTTCTGTATCGGAGCCCCGGAAGCCACCACACTTTCCCTCCGTAGAGTATCTTTTCTCCCCCTTCTGTTGCGGGATTGACTTTCAAACTCATCTGATTCGTTATCCTCCCCCTCTTCTATTTTCTTGAAATCGACTGACAACGATGAATCCGATACAACGATAGAAATCCATGTTGGTTGCGTAAACGTCGGCCTATGTAGTAACAGTCCAAGCTTCCGGACCTCGATCTTGACACCGTTGACGGGTTCGTAGCTGATCCGCTTAAATGCGAAGTATCCGACTCGTTGAATTGAAACTCCGGTGAGGATCCGAAGGATGGCGAAGAAGACAAATGTAGCTAGGTATCCAACAACCACAACGCCTAATACAAACGTTGGGAAGCGGTACGCGGTGGCCATGTGAGAAATTATTATGCTTTCTGTGATAAACTCTGGATTTTCGTTGCCCTCGTAGCTGCCCCCTATTCCCTTCTTCTACCCTGTCCAAGTTCTTGCTTATATGGAGGGCCCGGCTCGCGTGCCTCCTCAAAGCTTATGGATGGATGCTGTTTTGTTGTGTTATAAGCTTGTGCTCATGTTTTTATGATATGTAAAGAGCGAACAATGAATTATGGTGGAGAAAGGGAGCAAGGAGTGAGCTTGTTGGCCAAGAGTAATAAAAACGGGGGTTGAGATTACCGTTGATAGCGGACGAGAGACCGATGATCTCAAATCCCCGAATCTGGTTGCTATGTGTAATTCCGGAGGCCTAGGACAGATCTAAATTTTGAACGTATGCGCGGGCCCCCAGGATGCAGGGGGAAACAAAGGTCGAGTGAATTCTACCTGAGAACACGGGAAGAAGGAATGTTATACGCATATAGTACTAAAATTTCAACGTGTATTGTGGGTGTCCGTACTCGCATATCAAGTATGTATTTGCGCAACCAGCAAAACACACACAGAATCCAGAGAGCTTCCCATCTCCCCTGAGATTATGTGTCTTCTATCCAGACACCTGAAAGACTCTACAGGCCACTTTTAGGCCATATCTACAAAGAACAAGCACTGAAGGTGAAATGTGTCTAAAAGGGTCCTTTTATGGCACCTTTATCAGTATCTCAATTGGGCCAAGAATTTGAAGCATAGACCTCCTTTATCAAAATTATACTATACTTGGTCGTTGATATTTTGGTTTAGGTATGGGACTTTTTATGAGTTGTTGAAAACCTCGATTTTTGGTGTGTTTTGCTGGTTGGGCAAATACATAATTGACGTGCGAGTACATGTTCATTCATACATTAGCCGCATGCGCACTTTGAAACGCCTTTATGCGCAGCAGCTACAACGCCAAGTTCCCACCATATGCACACTCTACTTTAGTTTGCCACTAGCACCTACTCTACTCCAGAGTAGAGGGCTGTTCATCCTTCTCACCTACTGTAGTTACATGCATTGCAAACTCTGTCTAAAGATTCTCGCGTGTCAGTGCAGCGAATCTTGGCGGACCGCCAGAAATGTAGGTAGCTCCCTCGGACCTTCGGCTGGGTAACCGGTCTCGAGGCAGCGAACTTTGAAAACACTGTTTAAATACCACCCATGCAGTTAGGCCCGCGTTGTGGCTTGGGGGCTACATACCTCCATGTATTGTAGGTTGTCAAAAATAATGGGACGCAACAGGCTTCATTGCAACGTAATAATCTCTCAACCATGACCGACCACAAAGAGACCACAAACAGGATAAGTGATAGTAAGAACTACTGGAGACCCAAAATGTATTTTCGTTAGTATTGTTGTTCGTTGGTGGCGGGGTTGGGTTGTCGTTGCTGTATTCGTTGCCCCGTTGCGTCCCATTATTTTTGACAGCCCGCAATACCTACTGTATATATTACCAGCGCACTTTAGTCCTCTTTTGCGCACGGAAGATCATACCTACCACTGCTCAGACTCCCAAACGACACCCCCACAAGTGTCAGAAGTAAAGTTCTCTCAACTGGCACCGGTACTTGTCATAAGGATAATTGACTTGGTACCCCTTCTAGAATTAATTATACTACCGTGCAGCCGTAATTAATTCAACTTGTAAGGGCCTGTTTAGGCAACCAAATAAGCCGGTTCATTGGGTCGGTTTGTGCACCCTAGAATAAATTTTGAGAGCCGGCTGAGTATCTTCTTCTTAGTTTCGTGTTGTATTTAATCAATTGTAGTAATAAATATAATTGTTTGGTGACTCAAACAGGCCCTTGGCCAAAGATTGATCATGAGACATCACTCGACAGTTGAAGTTGTACTACGAGCAAAATACAAAATATAGGGGCAAAACTTTACAGAATCCTAAGGGGATTTAAATGCCATCCATTTTTGTTAGGCTAGTCTTAGTATTATGGTGATAGTGACGCCTACCGTTGCCCCTGGTGATGCGCAATGTGGTGCGAAGGCCGAATTCTGTGATCGGCGCGATTGAGTCAAGCCCTAACGACTCAAGTAATCCATTAGGCATCTCTGATTTAATGTTTGTGGCGTATCTGTATCTTTGCATGTACATACACGCGTACAGTTTTTAAATTTCAGAGTGTATAATTCTATGTATTCACGGGGTTTATCCAAACGTACCTCAGCCACGGGAGCTGCGTGTAGTTTCTACAGGTTCTCGTCCACCGATAGTGTGCTTACTCTGCTGTTCCGTCCTCATTATCTCTAGCTTCGCAATTTCCTCGTCTGCAATGGCTAAATCGGCCTCCAAAGCCAGGAGCTTCCCCTTTAGCATTTCTTCATACTCCTCGGTGGTCAACCTCGTAACTGGACTCCACCTAGAGCGCATTACACGATCCCAAAAACCGAAACCTCCTGTTTGTTCTGGCTTTTTCTCTTTTAATACAGATTTTGTGTGCCGGGCGTCGGCGATATTGTATACAGTCTGGCCTGAGAGACCGATTAATCCCCACACCAGAGCACCGGGAAGAGAAGCACGGGGTTTGCCTAAGATTTAGGTGGTCAGTAAGGCAAAGATCACAGCTAAGTTTGGCTTGCCAACATTGATATCTCACTGCCTAGCGTGTCCAAAGGAAAGTAGTGTCCATACCAAGTACAAGAGCAACGAAGCCTCCAGCGACAGCTCCAGCCGCGCCACTAACATAGGCCTTCTCTCTTGGGTACAGACTCAATGTCTCAGGGTCCTGCAGAGCTCGGATCATTGTTGTTCTTGTAGCTAAAATATCCAAATCAGGCCTAAGTACAGCATCGCGCATGGAAGGCCTTACACACCCCAATACGTCCCACCTAAAATGGCAGAATTGACCCCCGTAAGCACCGCAAAGAGGCCGAGTGTAGGGCGATTCCGAATGATTCCATAAGCACCGCCAAATAGCGTGCCCGCCGCTCCTATGAGGTGGCATTGATCATGTAAGCCCGTGAGCGGTGGTGAGCAGGTGGAATGACGGACCGGTCACTACCCCTACCTTGAGGGCAGGATTGAGGATCGGGTTGGGTACTTGGGCGCTTGGGTCGGTTCGCATAATTGTAGATGTGCACTTAATGTAGTTGATATCTCTATGAAGCTTGGAAAGGTGGCAGGAGTTGTCGTTACAGCGGAGAATGAAGTGCTTAGAGTCTTATGCAGGGCATTGGCTCCCCTAACCCTAAATCTTAATACGTTGCACTGTTTTCCATCACTACAAGTATGTATCTCATGTATTTTTCTAATTCCCAGTCATTAACTGCCCCAGTGAAAACCAAACAAAATAACTTTCGTACCATGTTTATTCAAGTCCATATATATGTATCTTTCACTGATATTTTAGGTATATGCAGGTTGTAGCGGAACACGCTCATGTATGTAACGTGTAGTATTATCAGGAATTCTACTACCTTGATCTTATCAACTAAGCCTTAAGTTTCTAGAATTCTCTGATCTCTGTTTCACCCAGCGATTATTTACTTATAAGCACACATACGTACCCACATAGATACATGTACTTAATTTAGTGAGGTGAGCCCTGCTGTTGTCTGATGCTTCCTTGCTGACTGTTGATCTGTTGGTTGCCCTCCTAATCCCTCCCCACAACCGACACCACCCAAATCTTTTTCTCCCACAATACTCTTTCCACCTCACCACCAACGAGAACCTCACCCGTTCTGCCCCTCCCCCGCACTCGCACCTCTACGCTTAAACAACACTACAAAATTCACCTCTGCTAAAGGTCTTTTACTCCTTTAGCTCATCTACTCCTGCCAGCAAGCGCGCTTTCTTATTAAAGCGCGTTCGCTGCTTTTTATCATCATGGGTACGTATCTCTTCCCATTTTATATCTTATCCCCTCATCTTTTTTTTTTCTTATGCTCCCTGCGAGGGAGCATAACTATCGCTCTCCTATGAATTGATCAAGATGAATTGTCTGCTAACTACTTGCTGTAGCGCCTCCTAAGAAGGGTCAAAAAATGAGTCTGGGGGATTTTCTCGGTGATCAATGTATGTCGCTAGGCACCCCCCCCCCCACCACGTTTTGGTAATAATTAATTAGGATCCTGCTGACTATTTCTGCCACTAATAATAGCCCTTGGGACCACTTCGTCCTGGGCTGACGAAATGGAGGATATGCCTGCTGTTCGTACGTACTAATTCGTTTTCCCGTGCTTTTTTTCTACTTATCATATTTTCCCCCATTTCTTTTGGTTCCGGTGGCTGACTTCATGTCATAGCCGCTGGTTGGTCTAGCCATTCCATTAGTAGTCCTGAGCATATGAACACGGAAGGCTGACACTTTATCTGATAGGCGGCTCCTCCACTGGATATGCTCGCCGTGAGTACGGAGATTCTTCCGGCAGCGGCGGCGGCGGCGGCTTCGGTAGCTTTTCTAGAAGTATGTTTGGTGCAATTCTTGATTCTGATTCGTTGGGATCTAATTTTGTGCTTTTAAAGACGACCGTGAGGAGCGTTATCCACCCCGCGAACAGCTCCCAATCCCCGACAAACCGCCATTTACCGCACATGTTGGGAACCTATCTTTTGATGTCTCCGAAAACGAGATATCCGAATTCTTCGAAAAATGTGATGTCTCTAACGTTAGACTTGTTCGTGACAAAATGGAAGACCGCCCGAAGGGCTTTGGTTATGTCGAATTTAATACTAAAGAAGGTCTGATTGCTGCTATGGAGTTAAATGGTAGCCAACTTTCGGGCAGGAACATAAGAATCAACGTCGCCGATCCACGTAAGATATTTCAATCCTGCGATAGCACACAGGGCAAGTTTATTGATATGTATTTTAGCGAAGGATCGTGGCGAGGAGCGTACTCTTGGAGAGTGGCGTCGTACCGGCCCTCTTCCCGCTCTCGAGAATACTGGACGTCGCAGCAGTGAACGTGGTGGATTCGGTGACCGCGGTGACCGCGGTGGTTTTGGCGACCGTGACCGTGACCGTGACCGCATGGGCAGCGAATCCGGTGACCGCGGGGAGCGCCGCCAGAGTGCCTTCGAGAGCTCTGATAAGTTGCGCAATCTTGATAAATGGGAGCGCACTGGTCCTCTCCCACCATCGACCCCGACCGCTGGTGAACATCGTCCTCGCAGCGGAGAGCGTAATGAACGTGGGGAGCCTCGTGAATTCAGGAGACGCTCTCCGGCGCCGAGTGCGGAAGGAACTCCCAAGAGAGAGTACCGTGAGCGCCCAGCTATCGAACGGCAGCCAACTGCCCCCGAGCGAGATAATGAATGGCGCAGAGGGGCTCGTCCAGATCCTCCGGCTCCACAAAGAACGCCAACAGCGCCTTCCAGCCCGGTTGCTGCAACTACTCGTCCCAGACTGGAACTCAAGAAGCGCAGCGAGCATCCTATAGAGCCTGCTTTGGCATCTGCCACCAGTGACTCATCCAGTAAGCCCAATCCATTTGGTGCTGCTAGACCAATTGATACTTTCCAGCGGGACAAGGAGGTCGAAGAAAAAAGACTTGCCGCCATTGCCGCCAAGAAGGCTAAGGAGGAAAAGGCCAGGGAGGATAGAAAGACCCGGGCCGCTGCAGGCGAAAATGATAAAAGTGAAGCTGGGACACCAACTGCCACCAAGGACTTTTCGCTTTTGAGAAGAGCATCTGGCGCGACTGAGGGCAACACTGCTGAGGCCGAGACCGAGGGTGAGGCCGCTCCTACTATAACTGCACCTTCTAAAAAGAGGGAAGAAAGACCCACGAAGGCAACCCCATCCAACTGGCGAAAACAAGAGTCAAAAGAGACCCCAGCCGAGGAAGCCGCTGATGGGTGGTCTACCGTTCCACCCAAAAAAGGTCGTGCTGCAGGAGCAAGGGTATAAATAAAAAAATAAAACTCCCCTTGAGATTTATTGATACAAGGGACGGTTTTACTCTCTTCTCTCTTCTTTTGTTCTTTTTCTTTTTTTGGAATGACAAAGCTAGAGTGTGGGGAGTTTGTTTCATGTCTCTTTTGTGTTCAAAAGTTGTTTTCTTCCAGTCTGCGTAAAGAAAGAATATTGATGTGAATGATTTTTCGTCATTTCGCTCTCTTCTAATCTACACAGCTTCTTCCTCTTCTATCCGCCCTACCCTTTTTCAAACCTTATTCTATTCATCTTTTTCATTTTCTCACTTCTTTTGTTTGGGATGGTTTTCACACTTCTATTTTCTTACCTCTTCTTCGAAAATAAGAGAAAGAAAATGAGATGTTTTTCATCTTCCTTTCTCTCTCTTGATGGCGGGCGTGAGCTAACGTAAATCATGGGGGGCGAGTAAGCGGGAAGGGGGAAAAGGAGAAATGTGTATGTAGTTACTTCCTTCTGTGAATTTTTCTCTCCTTTTCTTTCTCACCCGAACCTGTCACATCAGTGAGGACTCCCAAGATTGAGGGATTGGGGGTCTTGAGCCCCTGTTGACATCTAAGATTGAAGGAAGAAATCCCAAAAGTTTTTGAATAGTTTACCTGATAAGAACATTTAGGTAGCTACGTAACTACGGGGTGAACTGATAAAAACAAAAGTTGTGTGAACAAGTTTCCGCTAGATTTGCGCGTGAACGCGGTTACGACACAAAAGTGGTGACGGAAACGCAATCAAATCCCTACATTCAAGGACTGTATTTAATCACGGAGTATCACTCGCAAAACCTATATTTTATGCCTTCCGAATAGTGGAGGATACATTATTCACTTATCAGCTTATGATGCGGAATTATTTATATAAGTGCCACCATTCTATCATACAAATATTACATGCAACTGCGTTTCGAGCCTGGTATTCCTAGAGGTTTTCCTGTTAGTTACCAACCAGAGATTTCATAATGAGCATCACTTTATACTCTCAATATTTCATATCACATTATGGGCCTGTTTTTATAATTGATCTCTCCATACAATGCCTTGGGAGGGCGTTCCTTTCGGTTTGAGATATCGCTCTGAGAACGAAGAAAACGCAGAAATGATGGACACAAAGAGCAAAGCAAAAAGGGGTAGGCAAGCTCGTGTCGGTGTAGGGGCTCTACTCCCATTACCAGAGTTTCTATCGCTTCATTCTGAATTTCCTTAAAAAAAATCCCCCAGAAGTAAAACTCCCAGAGGAGAGTGTTCAACACGATCCGTCCCTCCTGGTTTCGCCGTTCTTTACCGACTAGTTATATTTGAAGAATTGGCAACAGATACTAATATATACATATACTGAGTTGCAAATAAAACATACCGGCACACAAGCATTAACAACCATAGAAGTCATGTAAAGTACAACAGGAGAACTAAGATCTTTGGGTTCGTATGAGTATTAATTCTTCTCTACTGGGTAACTAATATTGGTATAGTGAACAATTTGATCCCGAAATAAGCTACGGTTTTAAATCCACGCACTATTACCAACCGGAAAACAATAGTGAAAGATTCGATTGGGCCCTGGCCTCAACTTATCGAGGCTAGAAGAATAATAATGGGTAGCACCAAAACCACCCATTAAAATGGTCTCTCCGCCATGCCCGGAATTAGGCAAATATCCAGCGCTAGAGTACACAGCACCAACCTGAGAATAAGTCAACTCTTACTCAATATGTGCCTTTTGTCTAGATGGAATGGCAAAGTCTCTCTTCGAGATCTCAAAGCGAAAAAAACACTGTATAGATGTAAACATGTAATGTAAAACTTTAATTTGTACCATTTACTCTAATAAATCCCACCAAAGATGGCGGTAGTCTCATTTATACACTTCTGATTAAATACTAATGGATCCTGGGTATTTAACGATATTGACTGTAACTACATGTATTCATTGAGGTTGGAACACCCACAAAATCGCTTGTGGTGGCTGTCCAAACGTGATATTGGGCCAAATATCAAATTATCACGACATTTGCAACCGATTTAATCGAACAAGCCCTAATGTTATTGCTTGTAGGATATTTGGTTACCAGCTCACGACCTTATAATATATAAAAAGCATGTTTACACGACGCGCCTAAACCTATCTAGCGGTGGTATCTATAGCTTCGGTCCCTCCTTCACTAACAGCTTCTCTAGCCCCTCCCTAAACGTTTTCTCCATCGTCATCGGCCTTCTATTCACACTGTCGCAAAACACGTGTGTATACCCGCCGACAGCTCTCACATCCTCCATGCCTCTCTCAAACACACCACACTCATAGGTGACGCTTGAGTTACCAAGCTTATTTACCCTGAGGCCTATATCTAGCACAGCCGGGAACGATGTCTGAGATATGAATGTGATCTGCGATGCGACCATAAGTGCAATTGATGGAGATGTTGTCGGGTTCAGGCCGCAGTGCTTGATCAGGTAGGTATTAACTACTGAGTCGATTCTAAGGGACAGAAGGTTAGTTTATTTGGGCGTGTGGGCTTCTAGTGATCAAGGTTAAGCTCATTGAAGTACTCACAGGACGTTGTAGACTGTATTGGTGAGGTGCGAGTACATGTCGTTGTCTGTCCATCGTGTTCGGTAATCTAGGAAAAAGACATAATCACTTCTTTTGCGCTCCTTGACCGACATTGTAGCTCGACTCGAATTACTTTGCAAATCTCGATATATATCTAGCTACAAATCAGCTCCCATGGAAATTGGGAGCTTTGAGGATTAAATAGATTGTTGCTACAGGCTGCAGCTCCCGCCCCATCGGGCCTCGGCCAACCCCTGTAGATCAACCTCGGCCTGTCGATAAGCTCTGTCAGATTTCCGATAAGATAAGACACACCCACACGAAATCTCATTTAATACCAAAAGGGAGAACAAATTTGGTTGTCATACACTCATCAGCAGAAAAAAGCTGCATGCGCATCGTCACTGGCTCGCGCGTCGGACTCTACCGCCTACATCCTCCCCTCCACCTAGTCGCAACCCTGGAGGGGTTCCTGAACCTCCACCAGTACCAAAAAATGTCAGACCAGACACTATCAGAGCTATCAGCGCTCACAATCACACCACCCGGCTCACCGAGATCTAAGAGCAAGCAGCATACAGAGGCATACACTCAGCGAAGAAGGAAGGAGTCAGAGACAGCGTTAGCGGTGCAGAAGGAGAGCCTGCCGTCAAAATTCCTCAACCAGCCTCCAGACCCGCTATATTATTTTGAAGATGGGCTGAGGAAGATCCCGCCTTATAATTATACATACAATACGTTCTGTAAAGAGCGGTGGAGAGGGCGTACGCTGCTGGATATATTTGTGAATGAGTTTAGGGATCGCCCGGAGGAGTACTATGTATGTAGAGTTCATTACCGTCTGTCCTTTTCCTTTGTAAGAAAATAGAAGCTGAACAATTGCTAGAAAAAAGCTATTGAAGCGGGGACGGTCACGATATTTAGAAAGAAGGATGGCCGCCATCCGACGCAGGAGCAGCTTATATACTGTGGTCCTGATACGATCGTAAATAATGGAGATATGATCGCGCACACACTGCACCGCCACGAACCCCCGGTCACTGACAAACCCGTTGAGGTTGTTTTCGAAGACGAATCCCTCATCGTTATTAACAAGCCTGCGGGGGTGCCGGTGCACCCCGCTGGCCGATACAACTACAACTCGGTCATCGAGATCATGAAGCATGAGCGGAACGGAGTCGCACCTCTACGTAAGTTTGCATCTCCATGCCCACCATTCTACTAGACTTTTGTACTAACAAAGCGGCCCTGTAGCATGTAATCGCCTCGACCGTCTGACCAGTGGGCTCATGTTCTGTGCCAAAACCCCACAGGCTGCAGACGACATGATGAACCAGCTGCGCACACGCACAATCCGCAAGCAGTACGTCGCTCGAGTGACAGGCGAGTTCCCGACAGAAGACATCACCTGCTCCGAGCCCATTCTCAGTGTCTCTCCCAAGCTGGGACTTAATCGGGTCCGTGCGAACGGGAAGCACGCATCGACACTCTTCCGCCGGCTCAGGTACAACAAGGAGCGGGATTACAGTATCGTAGAGTGTCATCCTTTCACGGGGCGCACCCACCAGATTCGTGTTCACCTGCAGTACCTAGGTTATCCAATCAGTAACGATCCTATATACTGCAATCGACTGGTATGGGGGCCTGGCTTAGGGAAGGGCGGGGAGGGCGATGATGAGGATATCATTACAAGGTTGGGCAGGATGGGAAAGGATCAGGTAGCTGATGCCGTTGCCTATTTCGATGAGATGGTAAAGGAGTACCAGGAGATCAAGGCGCATAAACTATCGGGTGAACTATGTTCGGTCTGTGAGGCGCCATTGTACACCGATCCGGGATCGCATGAGGTTAGTTTTCTTTTCCCTTTTCCTTATATTTGATTTTTTCGTTTTTTGTTTCCTTTTTAGTAGAGGAGAGCTAACGGATGTCGCGGTACATGTAGTTGGGTATCTTTTTGCATGCAAAGAGGTACGAGTGCGAAGAAGGGAGATGGGCGTACGAGACGAAGTTGCCGGACTGGGCAACGGTGGATTAGACTGAAAAATCGTTTAAACAAAACTAAAGAAAACTTAAATAAGTGTCGGATGTAGGCTATTACAGAGAGAACTGCATAATATATATACATGTATTTTACACGTCGGCTGGATGATATCCAACGGCATGTACCGGTACCTACATATACGCGTCCCTTAGGCCATTAAGATAGATGTAAATGATGTAATAAATTAACCAAACATGGGGGCTATGGCGTCAAGAACTGTCATGGCCTGTCGCCATTCCCCAAAAATTGATAAAGAATTCATATCACCCCTTGCCGAGCATTTCTTTCATCACAACTTCCGTACCTCGTTACATGTAGTTTTACACAATTTATATATATCAGGCCTGACAGCCCCAGCGATACATGGACTAGTGGTTATATTAGGGATTTAAGTAACGTCAAGCAAACAGGCAAGCTGATTCATGCTTTGCCTTGACGCAATCCTTATACACTGAGCCGGTATAACTACATGTATGTACCTCGAAAATGGCGAGTGATCTCACATGATTGCCGTCTATTGCGCTGTGAAACGACGAATGAGAGATAGAGGTTTTCAATGTAGGAGTAATACCTGCAGTGTTTGGATTGTTATAGCGGATGCTTGGCATTATGAGACTAATAGCTTGGGAGAGCATCAATATTTGCAATGATTTCTCCGAGTCTCCCGCAAGAATATGACTTGAGGACTAGAGCCTATCTACTACGTAGAGATGCTACCGAGATTCCCCAAATACTGACATGGTACTATATATACAATGCTAGGAACGATGTAGCCTCAATGAATTAAACTCTTACATACAGCTTAAGAGGAGCTCGCTGCGGCACTAGTCTCCATTATTTCCTCGTTTGGTGGGGCACGAGTTTGGTCATTGATTGTCACTTTAGTATCTTCCTTCTTTACCGCAGATGGTCTCTCATGCACACTCGGTTCCTCTTTCGCAGAGGGTGCCGTTGTAGTTGGCCTCGTGTTGCCCGGGTTTTTCTTCTGACTAGGGGCCCCAGCTTGTGCTACTTCCCAAGCTCTCAATGTGTTCACCACTTTATCTTCCCAGGCACTGATATCTTCATTCATCAAGTCTTCCCACTCAACCACGTTTTCCCCAAGCTTAAAGTCGCCTTGATGCGTGCGGACAAGCTTAACCATGTGTGCTGCAGAACCAAGAGCTTTGCCAAGACTAGTAGAACGTCAACTACGTGCTCTTTAGACAGAGTCAAAGACTACTTACTCATAAACTAGTGAGCGGACATAGAAGCCTGACCCGACTGTCATACGGATTGATACGGCCGCTGGTTTCGATCCATCTTCAACCTGATCTACCAGGGTAGGAGCCTTGTCGGGAGATTTTCCAGTACCCCCTTCACTAGCAGCCTCTGATTTTATTTTTTTCGCTGAAGGTTTGGGAGATTCCTCTCTGGAATGCCTTTTCTCGCCTACTTTGACACCATCTGGGGCTGTTGCTTGCATTTCTTCAAGAGCTTTCCCAACGACTTGATCCTCTGCGGACAACTCTTCCTTAGGAAATTCCCAGGTATGATCGGTGATAAAATCGAGCAATTCAATGGAATGCGCAACGACAGGCCGTGCTTTGATTTCCATTGGAAGGGGTATTCCCTTACGGGCGTACTCATATAATCGCATGCCATTTTGGTGAAGGGCGGAATAGCTGTGAAAGGCGGTTAACGACCAGCTAATTTATCCCGAAATTTTAAAGAACGGGTGAGGTTACATTGGTGGTTTTTGCATGATATCCCCACAAAAGGTCTTTAGCGCTCCTTCAACAGCTTCTTTGTTAATGTGCTTGTACGGTGCACGGCGCATGATCTTTCCCTCCGCATCATATGTGTCGGTGCTGCACCCAAAAAGCGCAACACATTCATAAGATTTCTGGCAGTCGAGAGCATGCTGGAGATGTTTTGTGCCTCCGTTTACCCCCAGTACCAAAACACCAGCTACCGGCGTGAAAGGTCAGTATATAAAGCTGGCACTTAAGAATGTTTCGACTGTTCATACTGGCCATGGGGTCTAAGGTTCCTCCATGTCCCATTTTAACATCCGGCGGTCCGCTCTTTCCTCTCCTCTTCTTCTTCTGGTATCCGCTCTCCTTACTGCGCGCTATCTGCTCTAACTCGAGAGGTTCAGAGAAGTGGGGAGACTTCCTGAAGACTCTTTGAACTATACGGATAACATCGGCAGAAGACTTTCCTTTGGGCTTATTCACGGCTATTCGAGAGGAGTAGACATCTTGTCAGTTTATTTGGATATGGATTGGGTCTACTTAGGTAAGGAAGGGCCAGGTATCAGTCGCCAATATCTGATTAATGGCACGAGACGGTTGCAGACGCCACTTACCTATGAGACCTTGGAGAGCGCCATATGGATTGGACATGATGCGTTGTATGGAGCTTTTAATCATGAAAGATGGTGGGGAACAGACGGAGGATGATCAGTTGTGAGACGTTGGAGGATGTGTGAGACCTAAAAACTAGCCGAATGACTAATCATTGTTTGAGATTTTCGATACATGTAGTTAGCCAATCAGGCGACGTTCACCTCAATGATCTCACGCGATCAGAACCGAGGTACAGATCAGCCACTTACGATAACTCTTTTGGGCAGTCTACCTAGTACAATTCCACCCCTGTACTTCATGCATAAATTACCGACCCGATTCTTTGGGTCTGTAAATGCACCTAACCCATAGACTACATATACCACATGTACAAGGCTCTGGGATTAAGTGAGTGAACGGATCCTCACCAGTCAACACCCCATTTAGTTCATTCACTTAATGCCAGAGCCTTGTACATGCAGAGTGTCAATAGGGAACATGTATGTATATACATGGGCGAGCCCAAATTACCTGGTTTGGGGGATGACAAAATCGCAGTTGATAGTACGAAATTAAAGGATATGTGTTCGATGATAGCGATCAAGTTTACCTCGCATTTCTCTCAGTGCCCGTGAGCACAGGAACAGATGTGAAGGTGTGATTCGCGGTTCAGGCAGGTCTTTGACCACCATAGAAGGCTTGTAACCTGTGTGATACTCCCCTTTATCACTTGATCTGCTTTTATTACCTCTTCCTCCCTTTAAAGAGAGCTACTTGCTACACGTTCCCCTCGTTCACTCAGAAACTCACTCGCTCACTATCCTGCCCACTTGACGACAAAAAAAGACAAAAGACAAAATTATACTGAAACATGAACCCTCACTCACATGCCGCCACCGGGGGAGACGCTCATATTTCCCAATACAACGATAGAAATTCCAGCCGTGATCTTGGGAAGGAAAGCCAGTGTCATCTGAGTCTAGCTCAGCAAATAAACTCTGCAAGCCGGTTCGTTGATGAAGCTCCTCCCTAAACTACATGTAGAAATAATGTACTAACATCCTCAAGTAAGGGCCATGACACAGTGAATCGCCTTATTATGGCCAGATTTGCCCTCGGGCTTCAGGGTTAGTATCCGCCCCCCCCCCCGGTTCATATCAAAAATAAAGGGTTTTAAGAATGGGTATCGCAGATCATCGGCTTTACCGTGAAGGGATATTGTCCTTCGCGTTTGTATACAAATCATTTGAAGAGGAATGGGCTGCCTTGTTGTCTTCTGAGTCAACAACTGTTGACCCTCGCATAAGGAATGCCCTTCAAAGACTCTATTCTATACCGCTCCTGAGGACGCCTCAAATTGCCAAAGATCTCCAATACTTCTACGGCTCAACACCTTTCTCGACTGAGTTCCCCACCACCCCCCAACGAACTGCATATGTAAATCATATCCGAAACGTTATTGCCGAGAAGCCGCATGTCTTGATCGCATATGCATATAACTATTACATGGCCCTGTTCGCGGGTGGGAAGATCCTCGGATACCAAATGTCCAAGGCCAAAGGCTTTTTTCCGGAGCACTACGGAATGACAGAAGAAGAACGAATTGGGGCCGGCATGAACATATTCAATTTTGAGATTGAGAAAGGAGGGGAGATCGGGTTGCGAGACAGCTTCAAGGGTGCTCTCCTTGACTTAGAGAGCACTTTAACGATGGCGGAAAAGAATGGTCAGTACTGGTTCCCGGTTAAAAATTGTTCGCTCGAAATATGACTATCTTGTTCCCACTGACATCTAGGATTCTAAACGATTAGACATTATTGAAGAGTCGGAGGCAATATATTCCAAAAATGTCCTTATCATCAAGGAACTGGACCGACTCTGTGCCCATATTATTGCCACCACAACAATCACAACAGCAAGGAAACAGTTGTGGAATGACACGCATAAGTTTCTGTCCTTTTTTGCGGTTCTCGCCTGCTTTTTGATAGGCAAACACGTTATCAACTACTTATAGTCTGCTTTGGAGCCATCTTTATCTGGATCGTATTATGAATATATGACGTTGTATTCTTAATTCGAGTTTTACTCTCTTCTATTCGTACTTATACCGTTTCGTTCTTTGATACTGTCAGGGCTGAGTCTCGTTTATTTGCTAGTGTCCTGGTGCTGTATTTTTAGGCGCCTGGGGATATATATTCTTATTTTCTTGATCATGGGAGGATATTTATGTGCTTAGAAATGTACCTACTTGCTTACTCTCCTACGCGCCTGCAAATCACCAGTTTAGTCGCATCGATGTACAGTCGCAACTCGATATGTCGGAAATTAATACCCCGGATCCCTTGCTGTATCGTACGAAGTCCTCTGGGGTTTTAATGTCTTCATGCAAAGTCAACTTGCTATCCCATGTTTGTCGTGAATATTTGCTATCCCGTATATATGAAATGAACTGAATCTTAGCAATTCGACATATCGAACTGGGACTGTAGAATACTCAGCGCGGATAATCCACCGAAGTACCCACACTAAAATAGGCACAAGCTCTATTCTAGATCTTCTAAATAGTATAATCTTCCTCGTTGAGGTCAGTAAGCATTATCATTGGTTAATTTTCTTCTACCAGACTGCTATGTGTACTGGACAAAGAGCCACTCCCGAATTTGGAAGGGATGAAACACATGTCGCATCCACTTTCATAGGTTGGTACATGCAGTTTGCAGTCGCTGTTGATATATATCTATAGATGTCATGGATAATTGACTTCGATCATAGATAGATTGGACATTGCAATATTCACTCAGAGGTTGTAAATAGAGTGGACAGTATCATTTTATTCTCTTAGGCTTTGGCGAATTTGTGGCTGGAGGCTCCACTTATAATTACATGTAGGTGCTGTGGAGTGCCCTTCTTTTTACTGGGCTACTGGACTCGTTGAAACATGATAAATCACTCGTGTGTTCCTGCCAAGGATCTATTTTATGTTGGATAGACCAAGCATAACTTTTAGACATAGAGTACACAGCACCGGAAAACCCACTTTTGTCTTTTATAGGAAATGGTCAGAGTGAATCAGCGAACCAGAGTAGTAGAGCCTAGAGTTAGAGTATTGTACATGAGCGGCGGTTTAGGAAAACTTAGCCTACGAAACAATAGATGTTATCAAAACCACAACAGCAACAATAGAGGTTTCAAAATAGTACCCACAAACCGAGTATTGGGTTCTGAGGTCTTGCAAAAGCCTGCCCGGGCGCCCCCGAGCAAAAATTTCAAACACTTGGCCGAAGCCTTGGGGGATGATTAAGGTTCCAAAATATTCAAACATCATATATGCAAAGTTCTCACGGGTCGCCACCCATATGGAATTGAATGGGTTTGGCAGTACATAACATAATGGTTTACATGGCCCCGAACCCCGGCGGGCGTAGGGTTTTGGGCCCTAGGGATGGGCACAACAGTAGACGAGACGAGACTAAAGGATAATCTTGTCTCGCCTTGTGATATTAGTAGGGTTCATGTGCTGTACTTGCCAATACATAGGGGTTAGTCTTGTCAAAGTCTCGAGATTTTATGGTCGCAGAAATCTCTTGATAGTGAGGTTATAACGTTAGGGCTACTAGTTGAGATATTGAGCAGAAATAAATAATAAAAAAAGCACTGCGCGCTTAACTTTACATGGTCTCGTCTTCTTATCCAAAGTCTCGAGACGAAGTCTTGCCAGGCCTTGTCTCATGCCTATCGATACATATAGTTTTGGCGAGTTTGTATGTACCAGCCGATAGACCCTCGAAATTTCCCAACAAATACTAATTCTTATTGTTCTTAACCATGCATTGCCAAATGTACATACACCTAGTTGTAGATTTCTCATGGGAGTTAATAACTAGAACTTTGAAACCTTACGTACCTACTTGTATGTATTAATTTACATAGTTCCCTATAAAATAATGAAGCTAGGTTTATGCTCTCGTGAGGGTTTAAGACGCCTAACGTGTTTTGCGGAATATCTCCGAACGGAAACCTGCGAGAAATATTTTTCTGTAGGTTAAACCGCCACTATAGTTACTACCAAGCCAATTGTCGTGATCACTATTACTATTCATTGAAGTTGGAACCATTTTCAAGACTATGATGTGAAGGCATGTTTATAGATTCCCTATATTACATATGTATGAGAGTCATAGACAAGGTTTTCGCCATACGATATGTACATAGGTACCGAGAAACATGGAGATTTCTTTAGAACCATACTAGAATCCCGGACGAATAGGGGTTTTCATCGTCTGCTCGGCAATGTACGTTTACCTATTGTGCAGATTACATGAACTCTTGGTAAGAAACCTTACTAACTTCACTCTTCATTGAACAACTAATAAATTATTAGTCAATCATTCACTCTTTGCATACATGGGTGGGTTATGAATTGATCAGTCAATTCACTCTTTTTTGTATGCAATTAATGAATCAAACAAAAAAAAAAAACCCCTCTTTTAGTGATTATATCTCGAGTGATATTCGATGATGCTCATTTAATCGTTGGTATTATCGACAACCCATCGCAATTGATCAAAACACAACCAACAAACGGCACGGCAACGGCGCACCCAGAGAAAAATAAATTATGAACCCGTAGAGTTATATTTCATGCTCAGAAAATCATAGAGAAGCTGGCGCAAACCTCTCCTCATTCAATACCGCTTTACATATCAAACTTTCCTCAACCCACTCTGTTGTCACCACTCTTGGAATCCCTTGGCGTCTATACATATGAAGTTAGAATATGCATGATTAAAAGAGGCTTGATATAACATTACGATTGAATTAAACTTCTGATAGACTGTAACCGTGATAGATCGCTGGTATGGACGACAACATGGGTGATATCTAAATCATTTATATCTTCAGATATTCTACCTCCGGCGAACTGCACAAGGATGCCGGATATGCTAGGATCATGAACGTGTGCAGATACGTCGTGAGGACCGGAGTTTACAAATGCCGGATGCCTAGATTTGGATTCGTTCGAGTTCAGGGTGTCTATATAAATGACCAATTCTCTGAAGATCCATCCAGGTAAACCGTCAAAGCTATGGAAGTTATCATGATCAAGGGTCTGAATGAACTCGGCCGTGAATACACGTTCAATATTAGTTGACATACCGTCGAGGAGCTAATGTTTGGCTATGTCAATGACAAGAAATACATAAATGTATAAAGGGGATATGTGTAAAATACCTGGCCCAATTCTCCAGCATCAACATCTCGCGCATAACTGTCACCCCATGTGTCAATCGCGTTTTGGCTTTTCTGTTCAATATCCCCAACCGCAGAGAATATGTATCTAGGTTCTAATGGAAGAACATAGCCTCCTCTTCTACCACTTCTTCGTTCTGCTTCGTCTTGGTGAATTGAATCTAATATCCACGAAGACCGTATGATATCATGGGTCCCCTTCTTCTTCAATGCAGAAATCTTGACAGTGTCTAAAAAATGGTTAGGGGTAATTATTTAGTAGTACTTTGAAGGCGAACCTCACTTCTGTCCCCAATAACCCAAGTGTTTTCAGCTGCGTTTTCAGTTTGGAAGATCCTGCCCCCATGGGATTTGACAAGCTGTTCTAACTCAACCTTGCTCTTCTTCTCTTTAGGGGATGTAGACTCAGACATGATATCTAGTAATAACGCTATTAGAAGTAGTTTCCCTGCGGAACGCAGTAGTTTTGCACTTACAGAAAGAATAATCCTTAAACAGCATATTCGAATTGCTCACAATTACTTGATCCAATCTGTGGGCTTTCTCGGATACCCCAAGAACCTTCAATTCTCTTTTTATGCGTTTTCCCGGTCTTCTCCTATTTTCCATATTCATGGCTTTCTCCTCCTCCCCCTTCTCGACCTCATCCTTTAGCCTCAAGAATCCCGATATGCTAAGTGCACTCTTCCAGTCCTTGTCCTCCCTTAGTCTTTTGAACCTTGGAAACCTCAAAGTCATGCCAACCCTGAACTTGTCAGTCGGTGCTACACTAGCAGCTTTGACTTCAACCACAAAGCTCCTGTCAGGGCGAATCCACACATCGGGACGCTCGAAGGCTTGATCACCTCCTGCAAGCTCCATAAACTCTTTGGGCGGGTTCTTGGGATCCCAAGGCACCCACTGGGAATCGGTTATGTGAGCAATTTGGGAATATTCATTTGCGGTAAAACCACCACCAACTTTGCAGAAAGACCAAAATTTCATGGGATTTTCGCCAGGAAGAAGATGATTTCCATCAAGGCGGACACCGCACAAATACGATGAGAGGATACCACCGCGCTTCCCGCTTCCCCAATAGCCACCAAGAACGAGAAGGTCAAGTGATTCGCCAAATTCTGTCATATAATCCGGTTTCACCTTCATCCAATCATCGTTTCGGTCGTTGAGGCGGTATATGCTTCGCGGATTCTGGATGATTTAATACATTAATTAATGGATCATTTATTCCAGGAGGGTTTCACCCTCAAACACTATTGGGTGAACATAATGCGGGGTCTATACTCCACTCGTGCGAGTAAACCTACCTTAATGACTAGGCCTTCACTTGCTTCGGCGATTACTTGCCGCAACATTTTTTCAATTTCTCTCCCCTCTTGTGCTTCCACATACTGATGAACCTCCATTCTTCTGTGTACACTCTTGATACTTCTCTCCAGAGCCTTACGCCTGTCCCTTAGTGTATAATTAATCAAAGATTGTCCGTTTAGGTAAAGTATATCAAAAACTCGAACTGCCATAAGAGTATATCAGCACTTGTGTGATAGAGATAGTGGCTGAAGAAAACCCGTACATAAGGGCCTAGGTCCATCTCCATATGGGTTCCTATTCCCCTCCAACGCAGCCGTTTTTAGTGTCCCAAAAGCAACGATAACATCCATTCTGGGGTCCCATGTAATCATTTCCCCGTCTAAAATGACACTGCGTCATGACATTAGAGACCATCAGTACAGATAAAATGGGGATTATAAAACCTTTTAACTCCTTTGTCAAATGCCTCCCCCAGATGTCTTGTCAAACTTCCATCATCCCACCCTGATCCATAAAGCCTTGTGTATTCCTTTCCCCTCCTGCTCCAAAACATAAAATTTCCATTCTGATAATGCATTTGCATTCGCTCACCATCGAGCTTTTCTTCTATCCAGAATGTTGGATCTTCAGCTGTTGGGTGCATGGCTTTAACAACATCGGCCATGGAACGCTTCTGAAACTGCGCAAGTTGAGGTTGGAAACACGACATAAGGGTCACTGATTTGTCCTACAATATCATTACTATGGGACGAAGGAAACCAAAGGGATATCGAGTTACATCAGAGTCCATGCGGAAATCAGGATTATACAACTCCCAGCAGACACGTTTGAGAGATGATGAAACATTGAATAGGGCATCAGCATCCGGATGCCACGCACTGCGAAGTATTAGCAATATGTTTTGTTTTCAATAACTGATCAAAGAGGTGGGTACTCGAAGAAGGTTTTTTCCGTAGCTCCAACTTTCATCTCTTTAGTTATAGGTAATAGCTGTCAGTACAGATGATCGAATTATCCTCAGAAAGGACCTAGCATGCTATCGGTAACTTACGCCTCATGATAATTCTAACGATCCACATCAGTTCATCGGCATCCATGTTGTTATAGAAATCGACCATAATCGGCAATTGATCCTCTCTACAAAAACGTAGGGTGACGGGTTAATTGTCTGTATAAATTGTCATGAGAATTATGTTGGATGAACACCCACTCTTTAGTAGCTTGGGAAAGATTGTCAAGCATTTCATTCACTTGATCAATTGTCAAGTTGCCTGGAGTGGTTCTCATTGGACGTTTTTTAATCACCTCTAAGGTTCAAGGGCAGACATTAGTGTTGAAATTCAATTGGATATCTCCTCAGATTGTGTAAACAATGCGTAGGAATTGACAGCTCCTATGGCCTTAGAGATTAAAGTGGGTAGTAATTGAATAATAAATTGGAGGAATGTATTTAGGAATGGATTCGAAAATCAAAAAATACAAGAAGTTGATATAATAGAATTCACACTATTACTTCTTACAGTGGAACATACCATAGCAGCGTAGAGCAAAGTCACCAGCACTTTTCGAGGCGCCTGGTTGCCTCCAATTTAAAAGAGCATAGCCGTCATCGCTGTCTTTATTGATTTTCATCACCTTGACCCACAGACGGCCAATTGTTTTTTCTTTAAGATGGTATCTGAACTCGAAAGCGAAATGTGAGTCTGAGACAATTTCCACTTTGATAGGGAAAACATACACGCTGCGATCTCTGTCTTTATCGCATAAAATCAACCTAAATGCGGGATAGATATCATTGCCAACTTCAGTCCTCCAGCGAGATATAAACCGGTCAATAATATTCCGTCTGATTTCATGGGGCTTTAATTTTGATAATCTTTGATTGGGGCCTGTTCTTTTCTTCTTGTTGGCAAGAAGTGGATCAAAGAGATATGTGTGTAACTCGTGAAAAGGGAGAGTATGTTTTTTGTTCCTTGGTCTAAGGGGATAATCGCGGTTAAGTTCCGCCTCGGTAAGGATTTTGTTAGGGCCGAAGGCTTCTACACTGATGCCTTCTACGATATCGCGAGCCATGGGTGGGGCATCTGGAAGGGTACCGAGATCAGACATAATACAAACAGCTTGAAATATTCGTTGGTAATGTGAATCCTATGTTTCGTTATATTCTTCGTATACGTATCGAGGGGAGGCGTCAAGCAAGATGGAGGGAGCAGCAAGAAAGCACTTAAAGGGAGACATAGAGTCATACATGATGTAGTTATCGCCATATACAGGCCCGGCTAAAGTGGACAAACGCGTGACCACGTGAGCAATAAATGCAGGGACGCGTCAACCTGTTTCATAACTCTTCCAGTTTCCACAGTTATTGAGGGTGACGCCTGGAAGGTAGTACTAGTTACTCTGGTTTCAAACCTTTTGCCATACAAATTACGCCCCATTAGATATTCCTAAAACTCCCCAGCAGTCCATTTTTTTAGGTGTTGAAACGAGAGTATCTTTCCAGCTGTCACTCACCATAGTAGACTTTAGGGTACCAGCAACGGCTATCAATTTTCAGAAATGCTATTTGCTACCCAGAAAAACGGTAACTACTGTAAGTACCCGCAACTGTAGTTAGTTTACGATCATAGGTACATGTAGTTACCTTGCATGTTTAACCTACTATATGTGGTAAAGAGACCTTTGGCGCCGCCGCAGGGCTAGGGAAGCATACCGTAGTGCTCTTTTGTTCTAAGTAATGTTTCTGTTAATACGTACGTTGGTATGGTACTAAGTACATATCTATTTAATTTCAGTCGCTTGTCTAAACTCTATTCACCCTTAGATAAAGGATTCTCATTCAAACGTTTAAGCTAATTACAGGGCCCGACGTATTATTTGAAGCTGTACTTAAAAAGCAATGGTTCTGGAGATTTGAGCTACTTGTATATATGTGATAAAGTTGAGGTTTGATCGTGTAGGACCTGGTACATACATGTATATATACATGTACGTACATACATGTATTTACATCTTTGTGCTTGTTGAAGCGTAAACCTTACTAGAGGGGTGACGAGCGTAACTATCACGATCACAGCCCAACAGTAGAGGTTAGAGGATAGCCCTTAATAGTTGCCCCGTGTGGGAATTTTTGAGAAAATGTATCATTTACACAACTCAAAGTAACCCCTCATTGAAGAAGTCTCTTGTTTAATGGATATTGGGGACGATAAATTTCTCAAATCTACATACCTATTTTTATACTCTGCATTCTGCCAAAGGGAAATACATGATCTTAAAGCTATAGTGTACGGTATATATGGTAACGTACCAAACCCTATCCTACCTATGATAGTATCGTGCGCAGACTTGAATATATTAATGTTGAGTGAAAGGCAGGTTTATGCGGGCGGTATTTTGTTTCTACATAGTCAGGCACATCATACATGTAGGTACAGACATGTACCTACATGTACGTACATACTCTACATGTATGTACCTAGAAGTACATGTACTTGCTTACCAGAAAATGCGGTAAGGATAGTTTGTATGGAGTGCACGTGGCGCCGTTCTCTCATACAAATAATCCCTGTTTCCGTCACTTGCATTTTCTGGTTCTTTTGATGGTAAGCAAGTATGCCATTAGATAATTATCCCCCTGGCCGTGGCACCCAAACAACCGATCTGGCAGTTATCAACCTCTGCCTCAACCAACTTTCCAAACAGAAAACTACATGTACTACGACCACTATCTGCGTGCTGGTGATTACTAATTCATAGCTGTGAGTACTCGACGTAATTTGCTGTGTCCACGATTTACTCCTGCATGCGTTTCTTAGATTTCGTTCTCAATACTTCACGATTTTTGCCAAGAGCGTATTAATTCTTATTTTATATCATAGTGCTTGAGTCATGAATCTCAACCATCCGACCCAACATTCCTCAAATTCTAACCCGAGTGCTGTTGCGTTAAGAGCCGCAACCCTAAGTTATGATAAAAGCGTAACCACCATTACATCCCCGACAGAGGATTCGAGCAATCGCAGCGCTACAAAAAAGGGATGTGTGATCAATAAGATTTCCACGGCAAGCTCACCAATCGGAAAAGTGGGTACCGGTGATAAGGGTCATCTACCAGCTATTCAGCAGAGAAAATTGAAAGACAAAATGCAGGAGCACCAATACGGACCCTCCGTGTCAAAGACCCCCTTACTTCAGAAGTCTTCGTCAATGGTTGTTGGGGATGCCGCCGCCGCAGAATTTAGAACTCGAATTGCTAAAGGCGGCACAAAAGTCGGCAAAGGTGACGACAAGCCCGCAACTGGCACGGTGGACACATGCAGTCGTTTACTACGGGATGGCGTTGCTCTAGAGGAATACTCGCCGACACTATCAGAAGATGTCTCGCCGAAACACAGCAGACTACCAGACTTAAGCGTTGATTCAACTTCGTTGGAAGATATATCTTCTCTTAAAAATTTATTTGAAAAAGGTGCTACGATATGCGCTCCAAAGCATATCCGGCCGGTCTCGGAAAACCCATCATTGACAGCTGCGATTATAGCCACTCAGGTTTCATCTTCTAACCCCACACACAGCTCAAGCAGAGGCAGTCCCATCCTCAAGCAAAGTTCAAAACCTGCCCAGGGAATTTCGACTCCTTTAAACTTTGACAACCGTTCAAGTTCTCATATCACAGCACATGAACCCTCGCCTGTTCTACTTGACTCGAAGCAATCTGAGATATACGAGACATCTGGATTATCAGACCACAAGAATGCGCTTTTAGCAGCTACTTTATCTGTCAAGCCAAAAATTCCACGGACTCCCCTAAAAAAAACCCAACCCCCAAGGCCACCTCCCCCGAGAAGAGCGCATGATGGTTTGAAAGTACCCAATGGCAAGATTTTAGGGGTTGAGGATAACTCCGATGCGTTGTCTATTCATTCGGCGAGAACGGGTTTCTCAAAGTACGACACCGCTCGCTCATCGGTTTCATTGCAACCCTCCCTATCGCACTCAATAATATCTCCCATACCAAAGAGGCGCCTTTCACTGGGAAATATTCCCCACCAAATGGCAGGAGGTAAATCCCTCGTGGTATCCGGCGCAACCCTCTCTACGGCTTCCCCCCACATTGACCCCGTCCACGGTAGCTGCCGCCAACCTTTGCCAGTATCACAGCATTTGACCGGGGACGCTGTTATAGCTGCATCACTCGCTCCGTCCCACGTGAATTCGCCCGCGCCGAGGAAGCGGCCTGCACCACCCGCACCGCGCCGTAGTCGTCGAAAAAGTCTTCCCTCACCCCCAAAGAAAGGTTTTAGGGAAACAATGGGGAAGCCTAGGTATTCACCTGCTGAAGCTAGCCCTCAAAGAAAGATGCCAAATCTTGTAAAACATAAACATTCGGAAAGGGAACGTCGGCGTTGGAGGCCTTTTATTACCGATGTAGAGCGAAGACGTTATGAGGGACTGTGGGCTGCAAATAAGGGACTTCTCCTGGCCACATGTGATTCGAAATCGGAAGGCCCTTCGCCCTATTCACCCAGCTTACAGCAGAGAAAATCTCACGAGCCAGATAGCTCCCAGTCACAACATATGTGGTCATCAACGCCAGGCTATACTGAAGACTTGTCGGATTACGTGCATTCTTTGGTAGCGAGGGATATTTGGACTAGATCGAGACTACCGTTGAATCATTTAGCAGATATCTGGGACCTTGTCGATCGCAGTATGAAGGGTAGACTTAGCAGAGACGAGTTTGTTGTTGGTACGTGGTTAATAGACCAGAGCTTGAAGGGAAGGAAACTGCCTCTCAGCATCCAGGACGAAGTGTGGCAATCAGTCAGAAGACTGGGTGTCAAAATACCATCACCAGGTTGCAAGAGTACTACATATAGCAAAGGACATTAGGTTGGCAATACAAATACATATGTATGGAAGTATGGAGGAATGATAGAGCGCTAATAGCGATTGACTTATACCAGATTCATTAGTAGTAATTAGCATAAGTTTTCAAATTTAATATGAAATTGCGGATTATTGGTACCCCAAATGGAAATTTTCCACACGCGAGGATCTGCTGTGTGAAATATCATTCATCATCTGATGCCATCAAGGCGCATGTTCGCACCACCCACACCTACGCGGCCCAGTGGAGGGGAATTCTATGCACTGATATTAGAAAGATCGGAGTGTAAGTGTCCCAGTTAATATGAAGCGGTACTATTAGTATTGGAATAACAAAGAATATTGCTCAGATTATAAGAGAGTAGCCTCCGCACGATTCGGCCTCGTTCAATATTTATTTCTTCACCACGGTCCACAAATACCTGCAACGCACAGGATTTATCGACGGCTTTCGCGAGCCAGCCGACATCAAAATTCAAATCAAAGCCATCAATACCAGCTGATGCCACAACGGTGAAGTGATAGTCTACAAAGAAGTTAAATACCCGACTGAAAACTACACGTTGACCTTAGAACAAATTATCTAGAAACTAAATCTTCATCCGTCCTGTACAGCAAAACTCAAACAATTCTCTGGACCAATGAAATGAGGTATCTTGCAGTCATAGAAACAAAAGAAAAGCAATTGTACATGTAAGTACGCGAAACCCAAACCAGAGCAAACAAAAGAAACGCCCACAAAAAACCCACAAAAATTTATGTAACAGTAAAAGAAACTAAAAATGCTAACGCTACATGTAACAACATATGATGACAAATGGTCTAACAAAAACTTACTATCTCAATTCGTACATCTGAATCACGAGATCTGGAAGAATGGCCTCCTAGGAGAATAGAATAAAGAAAAAAGCAAGAACACGACTCCAAGAACACCCCACCCTGTGGTTCGTTCGCCCCTAAAAAGAAATAAGAAATATTTAGCATATCGCATCATGTTCACTGTACAGCACACCAATATCGGCGGAGAGCTAAATCCGACGGCATCCAGTATCCTAGAACCGGAATTCCAGAATTGGGTGTTTCGGAAGCGCCCCGCCCCATTTCTTGCATAGCATTATTCATCGTAACTGCATGTCCAAGCCTCCCAGCGTCTGGCATCTCCTAATACCCTATACTTGTATGGTTGACGTGGCGGGAGGGCGATTTTGGCCTTCCCATGCGCAGTATCACTCAGCTTGCCTCGCCGACGCATGTTCATCTCCAAAACAATAACGCGGAGAAAATCACCGTTTTCCCTGACCTCGCGTGGTCGTGCGGCCGGGTTGGATACACGGGAATTTGGAGCGGATGCATCCTTGTGTGTCTCTTTGCTAGGTTTTTGCGATGAAGAGTATGTTTGCATCTGGATCGCTCCAGTGCAAGGGGAATCGGGGGTAGCATTTGTTGGGTTTAGATAACGGCGAAGCGCTGGTGTTGGGGTATCAAGACTCAGGGCCGGTCGCTTCTCATCTGTGAATTGAGGTGATATTGAAAGGATACTTCGGGTAAGGTAATCATCTGGCTGGGTAAAGGGTGCAGCGACTGAAATAGATGAAAAACTCCGGGCAGCCGATTTAAGGACGCGAATCGAGGCAGTCAGATTCGACTTGAAATTAAGGCGGCGGGTCACCCGTTTTAGAGCGTCCTCGGAAAAGAATCCTAACTCTGGTTCAAGCACAGGTTCTGCGGCATCGTCGTCGGAATCGAACATTAGCGGGTGATCGAAGTGACACTCCTCAGAATTCGATGCCAGGATTCGAGCCCGGGGATCACCGGCCGGACGTTTTCGAGGGAGGGGCAACGATTGAAAACTGCTCCACGAAAATGTAGACCGGTCGTCATCTTCAAGAGAAGGCACGGAATCTGATGAATCGGACCGAACTGACAGGTGACTGTCGCTTGGTGACTTTTGAAGCGAACAGGAGGTATCATCGTCATAATCCGGGGGACCAAGGAGTAGAGATAATGAAGATCGAGTTGAATCTCTTGAGGGATCACGAGATAGAGCAACGGATTCTAAACCAAGGAAAACAGACTCCCCAAGGGCATCATCAAATGACAAAGGTATATCGTCGGAAGGCGTTGGAGGCTCAATAAAAACGTTCGGAGAAGGCCGTTGCTGCTGTTGTTGCTGCTGTCGCAGAGCAACTCTCTGTTTCCTTGAGCCTGGGGGGGGATGGCCGTTACCGCCAGGAGGGCCGCAACTGCCGGTGCTACACCCGTATGTTTGTTGTTTTTGTAGTGATTTCCTCTAGACCTCGAAGAACCCTTCGTAGGGATAACCATAGGGCCAGAGGAAATCAAAGGTAATGGGGCAGACATCATGTTCGGCGACGACGACGACGATGTTTGATGGGAATACCAGGAATGTATCTTTTCATGTACGACTGCAGTATCGGAAGATAGAAATATATCGTCGTCCGAAGTTGAGGCCGAAAGCGATCGAACAAGACAGTGGGAGTGTGAGTTGTGGTGGTGAAGGTTAGAGGAAGAGAGAAGAGTGACGGTGGTAGTGGTGGTAGTGAAAGTAGCTGAGGATAAGGACGTTGTCCTAGCGGGAGTCAGGAGTAGCTCCATCGGAACGGGTTCGCTGATAGCTAACAATATTTTCTGTGTTATGGATGTATGAGGCTGGTGGCTTGGAGGGGGCCAGAGCTAGGCGCACAAAGAGTAAGGCAGAGGGTGCGCTGTATGCCTATGTATGTATGTCTAAAACACCGGGAATGGGTTTCTTCCTTCTATTTGATGACGGATAACAGGCCTGACAGTCTGACTGTTTGACTCCCTGTAATAATAAATAATGTCTCGCCTGTCTTTCCTGCCCTATCCTCTTGCCTCTCCGCCTGGAATATGGATGGCTGAATAGATATTGGTATAGATAGGGAATCACTACACCGGCAAGTGGGCAGCACTGTAGATAGATAACGTCTGTGTGCGGATAGAGTACAGTGCACTCTTTCTACTTCATGCAGCAAGCCAAATGTTGGGGCGCACACGCTTGTTTCGAAACTTTCTGCTAACCTGGTAGAGAAGGATGACTCGTGACAAGTCGATGTCTCAAGGATTAAAACAGGGTCCAACTCGAGAGCGAGTCACGCGTTTTTTTTACAAGATATGAACAACAAATTGCTGGGGATGTAGGTAAAGAAGCGAGAAAGATAAGTGGATAGATATTGACGGATGATGAACAGAACAAGCGGGGTGAGAGTGGAAGACACGGTGGGGAATCCACGTCCTTATGTAAATCAAACAAACATGTCGTGTGGGAAAAATAAGTAGACAGCTAGCGTGAATTATACTGTGTCATTCCTGGCGGCCGGGCATCACCCGCGAATTGAAGCATGTTGGGGAACCAAGATGAGCATGGAGAAACACCACGGGTATGATTTGATTGACGGGCAGTAGATGCTCATGGACAGATAAGAAACAGCAAACTGAACCAAGAGCATGACGATTGGGACCGCATAGCTGGCAAGGTACTCAATATGATCCAGAGTAGAAAGATGGGACGAGCACCTCCACCCTCTTCTCAGTTAACTACTGCTAATCGCATCCTCCTAGATACATGTACATACAGCGGTGGAAACAGCATTACACCTACTCTCACTAGGTAACCTCACTTACCTATACCTCTTGCTTACGGGGAACAAATTCAAGTAGCGAGAAAAAGAAATTTCGAATACGGGGTTAAAACTCCCGAGATACAGAAAGATAGGGAGTTGGCGAAGTAGTGCATTTCTCAGACCGCTAGCTGGTCACTCTATCACGAGGTACCTTCTTGGTATGTATCCCCTTTCCCTGTCTCAAAAGAAGTGTAGAGACTATTACTGCATGTAAGTAGGATACAAAAGCAAATCGGAACCCCCCAGAAGATAGAGCACGCTGCGCTTTCATCCGGCCCCCGGGAGCGAGCACGGCGGACAATTCAACCTTTGGTAGCCTTGGGTAATCCAAATGGGGGAATTTCAATACATCATTCGAACTCACTCGCCATGAGAAAAGCTACCCAAGGGATGGGTCTCGATACCTACATATGTAGTCTCATAGATCATCCTGTATTTCAGAGGGTCCACAGTTACAGCACCACACATCATACTGCAGGGTGGGGGAACACAAGAGGAAACGGTGGATCTACAGTCTCTCAACAGCCTATCAAAACCCGCACATATCTGCACCCTTATCAATACCCGCCATCATCCCATTGCAGGCTAGACCTGGTTCTAGAGTATTGGTGAATTACAGCAGTAATCTATCTATGGTTGGCCTTCCAGCGCCAGCCCTTCGAGAAGCGTTCTGGTTTGAGTAACCTCGGTTCCCCATAATTTGGTTCACGCCTAGAAAAAACAATGCCCATGTTATGAGGAGATGATCTCTTTGGGAACAGGCAATGTGCCGTCGCTAAGACATAGCAACTTGTTGAGCGCATGAGAAAAAATAAAAAATAAAAACACAAGCGCAAACGCCCCTCCATCTGGACGCTAGAAACTCTGAACACCCCCTAACCCTGCAATCATTGGCCCACTTTCCGAGGAGAATGGTTGCTCACACGAGTAGCACTTTTCTCCCCAAAGAGATTATTAGATCCTTCCCAAAGTGTATTAATATTAGGTAAGAATCAATCTTCTTCTCAGATTCAGATCGATCGAGTACACAATGTACTGCGGGTACCCCATCCGCACTGCAAGGTCAACCTCGTGTCTGTCGCCGCTTACAATATCAAAATCTTCGAATCAAGAGGATATTAGGTGTGTTACTTTTATTTAAGCAGTGAGCTGTTGGGGGCGAGAGTAACGTATCGCTTGGTACCTACAACTGTCCAAAGGGATATTCTTGATTGCATTTGAAACAAAGTAATTATCTACCAAACGACAACCAATCAACCTGCATTGGGAAAATGCGCTTGCGGCGCTCAAAAGTTGGCCTTGAAATGGACTGAGGAGTTGGGTTCGAAAGAAAAACAAAAGCTTGGTATCTAGTGTGCCAAGACCTGACAAGGTGAGCAAAAAAGGAAACGGAATAATCTCTCGAAAAACCAAACAACTGAAACAGGCCCATGTCCCCGAATGCCCTCGAACCTTGATGTTTTTGAAGACAGAGAAAACACAACGCTTGCATAAAATCAAAGAAATAATTAAAAGAAGAAGAAAATAAGAGTTCCGTAGTGAAAAAAACCTCACAATCCTTCAGCTTGTCAAGCGGTAATCATAAGCACGCCATTTAAGGTATCACAGAGCGGTTTTAAATCGTACTGAAGTATCGGTACTTGGTGGTTTCTCATTTTTACCAAGCCATCCGCCTGAAGCACGAATAAATAGCCAAAAGGGCGGGCTTACGGTATTTCACTCAACGCTTGGAGAGGAAGAGTAGGCGGCGGAATGCATATGAAAGTACAACAATGTGAATTAATTGCATTGCATATGCAGACTGCCCTGAATATCCATCCATTGATATTTGCGCCGTGAATAAAAGCAATGTAGTGAAACTATCAGTTATCTGTTGTGAGTGTGTACTGGACTAGGCTTTTGTCCATTAAGATGGCACAGACGTCATAAAAACGGTCGAAAAGCATATGAAAATGGATATCCGGCGCACCACGTACTGGCTAGGCCTCAATGATTCCGTGAATGAAGGAAAATTTGAGCGTCAGAATATATTTCTATAAGGACCCTGTTCCTCCCACAGAGCGTATGTACTCGTCTATTCATAGCGTTTGTGAACACCACCGCTATTGCATGCCATACAAAAAGGTTGTCTTGGCTATTTTTTGTGTGTATGTAATGCCGGTTGTGTTCACAAACGCTGTGAAAACACGAGTACAGCTTGCGGTAAGATTATTATAGAAATATGGGAGGAGTCCTATTGGCTTGGCCAGCCATAGAAACCCTGTTTTTAGACCCCTGCTCCTATAATAATTCTACCTCTCACTTTACATGTATATCCACCTGGAACTTATCTCACCATGTAATTCTACCGGCATGTAACGTGGAGCACGTGTAATCACTTCACTACAGTCTATATTTCTGTGGGATAAATGACAGTCACGTCAGTTTCTTTTCCATAAGGGTGATTACCCCACATACTTTTCTTTTCTTTTTGTTTCCGGCTGCCAGCTTTGTTTTTCTTCCCTGCATAAGAAGTTGTGGGGCATTAACCTACAAATGCTGTTGGTAGCCCATGCAAGGAATGTGTATAGGTATGTAGAGTATGTAGGTAGGTACATGGCTAGATAAACGAATGTAGATCACTATGTCCAATGGATATTACCCCACCTGTGCCCCTCATTGTAGTGTACTGTTCTTTGAAATTGTAAGGTTACTTTATTGGTTACATTTTCATCTGAGCCAGCCAAATTGTCCCATCCTTCGAGGTTATGACCGGACTTCGGCGGTCTTTCACCAATGATTCTAAATAAATCCCTCGTTCATTAAACACACTGTCGTAAGACATGGAAAGAAGCAAAAATAACAGTAGCATACCTACTGGAACCTTGCGCATGTCTAAAATACGGTTCGGTGGACTAAGAGCCTCTTAGGGAGAGTGAAAGATGATGGCTAACGGTGAACCGATTGTTGTGATTTATTACTGTGTGTAATAGTTAGCGAAATTTAAAGTACGTATGTCCTTTCAAGGCTGAGTTAACTGGGCCTGAAGATGGTAAATCTGCAGGCTCTGAAATGCGGTTATCGAGAAAAACTCATTTAGGTTGAGTGCTCAAGTAGGATATAGGTACATGTACGCAGTGCTTTCTGGTTTCTGTAGGTAATAAAGGTTGCAAGAGATGGTAACACGTTTTGCGGTAACGGACCACCATGCCGGCGGCACGTCGAAATACGCAACAATTTTATGTTTGAAAATCCAACCCTACTAAATGTACCAAAGGCTGGGAACAGAAAAAGAAATGAAAAGACCCGTGTACTACATACTTTACTCATTTACGGAGTTTATGTAGAGTACACACCAGGGGAGGGCGTGCATGCAGGCGGTACCTGGTAAGGCTTTGATCAGTTGAATTCTCATCCAATACTAAAGAAATATCCGTGATATCCCAGCTTAGAGTACGTACTAACCCTAAAGACCTGCATAGTGTTCCTTCAAATTTTGGTATCTGGTATTTTTTTTTTTACTTTTTCTACTCACTTTTTTTTTTTTTTTATGGGTGATCTCCCATGCAGCTAGGTCGAGTGATGATGTATGACGAAATCAGAAGCCGGCACATAGCACTATGAATGAGATGCTCCCGTCTCCTTCATAGCCCACGACTCGTTGTATCTAGAGTAGAGAGAGCTCCTCCAGGGCAACTTGACGAACGGGTTAATCGAGTCCTACGAAGCCACGGCATGAATTGTAGAAACACGTACACTACGAATGATCCCTGGATAACCATCTGGCATTTGTGTCACCCGCCACTGACAGACTATGTTACCGCCCACAAACCTCTGGATAAGTTGACAATGTTGGAATCCATAAGCCATGCCACCGGATTGGGGTGCGGAATAATAGTAGAGGGGTTTGAGAGTGCAATATGAGAGTATAAGTGTTATCAGTAAGTAGTTACGGTAAGTCTGCAGGAGCCAGGGCAATAGCCATGGGGATCTTCGGTGTTGGGGGTTCCGCGTGGTGAGTATCAGAAGGGCTCAGAAGTCTTAGAAGATGTTGGTCTGAGCTCAGCGGACAATGTCAAGTACAATATCGAGATTTTTTGCTTCGAAACCAGATAGATGTAAATTGACAACAAATCTCTAAACCATGAGTTGTTTGGAGTTGCCTTCCAGGCGAGAGCAAACTCTTTAGACTCAATGCCAGAACCCAAGGAGCGTACGCCCCGCGACAGCTCTATCCTCCAAACGTAAAACATGTCTCACTGTTCGATGTCTGAAATCCTAATGAAACAACCGCCTACATTTCTAGAAACAGTGGCACAAGAGGGATAGTAGGAGGAGAAATTTAAAAATAGCGTTCCATGGTTGGAATTCATACGTAGGATTGCTCACAACTTGAATATTAATTATAGTCATTCACCGTCACTCGACCAATACCACCAGTTGACGAACAGGGGTCCAGTTACGTCACAAACAGCTACATGTAAGCTGCAAGATATCCAGGTACTTTTAATTCGCATTGGGCATTTGGATATCCTTGTTCGGCAACTAAGAGCATTCGTGAAGTGAAGGGGAATGGCTTTTTAGTTTTTATACTCGGGGCGTCAAGAAGAACATCAATATGCAGACTCTATGTAGGTTTCAGAATTGCGGGTGTTATTTTGATAGAGTAGAGTAGAGGAATAGAAGAGGTTCACGTCTTAATAGCTTTGTTCGTCTCGGTAAATGTTTCTGGCTTGTTGCCTTTGTGTCAATCAATGCCCTTGATCCTTTACCATGGTTACAGTCAAGAATTTTGAGAGCTCCTACAAACAGCCGTGATATATACAATAGCTCAGAAATAGGGCAGATGGGCTCATCCCTTAAGCTGTTACTTAGACGCTGTCAACATAAGACATGGTAAGATCAGGCGAGCCTCGCACGCAAGCCACATGATACTTGGCAAAGTTAGTAGCTTTAACAGCATAAGGGATAGAAATAGTGCAGAGAACGAAAATTTCAGACTTGGGACGGTTTAGAATACATCCCACGCCCTTCAACATAAGCCCCGTAAAAAAAAAAAAGAAAGGAAGAAGAAGCCCGACCTTTTAGCCTTGATAGCAACGTGAGCCGCCATTTGATTTTAAGGTTACCTAACATACCAAGTATTGTTGGAAAATATTTGTCCAAATTGCAGAAATGTGCGGAATTGGCGGTTAAAATAGTGTTTGAGTAAAACAATTTCTTATCCCTTCGTCTGTCGGAAAATGCTGCCCACCCAAGAAAAAGCAAATCTGGTGTGGCTTTACAAACAGATCTCGTTATCTCGCTTATCAAGCAACAGATCTCCATAAAATATTTAATTTCTCTAATATAGGGTGGGCAGCATCGACAGACGAAGGGATAATACATCTCACTTGAGGCAATAGCTCTCAATTGTAATCTGGTATAACAGAGCCTATCTAACTGGATGATATATGAGGACGCATATAAGCTGTTACATACTGAAAATTATTCTCACAGGCCAGCTTCACAGTGATATTCGTGAAAAGGATTTGCACCAGTGTAACAGAGTCATTTCAACTGTCTAATATATGAATGCATGTGGTATGGGAGGGTGCGTCCCAAACTATGAGAGTACACTTTGCAGAGATCAGGGTTCAAGTTCAAATAACCACCAGAGAGATAGAAACTGTTATGGGCACGCCAACTTGAAGCACTCCCAAAACGCTATGAGGAGTTACGAGGGAGCTACAAAGTGTTCGAGAAGGTTAGAAGACACTACCAGTACCCTTTACACATATGAAATCAGTTATACTAACTACTATTGACTCCTGTTCGGCTTGTCAAGGCCCGGTGTGAGCAGTATGCGATCCGCACCGGAGTTGCGATTTCTTTACTTAAAAAACATGTTTTCGGCTCCAGTAATAACCCCCAGGGCGTCAAACCTCCGGAGGGGACTCCTTTTGGGCTGGAGTACCTATAGGGGGCAAGTGGAAAAAATCAAATCAAAGAACAGATCATCCGCTACGCTTTAGTGATGAAGCGAAGGCGACTTTCATGTATCGATTGGTTAACACACTGGGTTACGAAGAGCTAGATTAGTCAGCAGGTTCAATTGGTTTCCATAGGGTTCTGTTGGTCGTGAAGGTATGAATCACTTTGGATTTGTCATCGTTGGTGTTTCTTTTGATATATTAAGACTCCGAGAACTCACCAACAGTTCTGTTCTCTTTCTCTTTTTCTTTCTTTTGGTACGTAATATCTTTTGTCCCTTGCAAGGCCAAAACTTTCGAACAACAATACTTTTTGGATTGGAAAACCGATAAACTTTTACTCGAACACGATCCTGCCAGTGTATGTCAATAGACCGCGTAATCTATTGGTATCTTATCGCACATCTGCTCGTATTTGAAGTTATTCACGCTCTAGTCCCTGAATTGTAAACTCCCACCACTCCTAAAACTCGTTTAGCGAAAATAAACTTCATGACCGTAGCCAAAACACCAACAACCTGGTCTTGCCAACCCCCTCCCACCCATCCAAACCTCTGAATACTGTAGGCAGGAAAAGAACACTCTCACAAGACTCCCCTATCCCAAACCGATCGGGAATATCCGTGATGTTCATCAGCAAACTCTGGGATTCCTCAGGGCGCAGAGCCTACGCCCTGGGTGCCAAGAACGCCAGGCGTCGCCAGGGTAGAGCTCCCGCGCCAGGCGTCGCCAGAGCATAATGCTCGTGCCAGACGATACATTCCCCCGCCCGACGCCTTCTGAGCACTATTTTCCCTCTCTGGCAGCACCAGGGCGCATAATCGTCTATATACTCCGCCAGAGACTCGCTCCAAGCAGAGCACTCGCTTCATGCAGAGCACTTGCCACAAGCAGAGCCCTCCGCCAAAGCACTCGCTCCTAGCAGAGCACTCGCCCAAGCAGAGCACTCGCTCCAAACAGAGTACTCGCTCCAAGCAGTACCGAATAGTCCTCCTAATGAGCTTTTTTTTTACGCTCGCTAATGCTGCTGTCTACAGAGTGCTCCTAGCGATATCACCTACATCTCCAGAGCAACCAGCAATGCTCTCTCCGCGATCTTCTCTAGGCGCATTGCGCACCTTCACGCGTCAGGAACGTCCAGGCAATGTGGTGCACGTCCTAAGAGCACCCGGCAATGCTCTCCCCGCCATGACATGCCTGGGGTATGCCTCCTGCGTCTGGATAACGATCAACGAATGAGTCTCCGCCCAGTGACTGGCAATGAATCACGGACGCGTCGGGGGTCGCCAGGAGACAGCGTCAGCGCCCTGACAGCACTCATCAGTGCTATCTGCGCCAGGAGAGCATTCTCACCGAGCTGCTCGCCAGACACCGCCGGAGCATATCGCTCACGCCAAGACAGTCTTCGTCAACATGGTTTTCCAGGCACTGCTAAGCCCACGTCTGGAGAGCACTGACCAATGCTCGTAGAGCTACCAAAACATCTTTGATAATACTATTCAAGGTGGGACATCCCCTACTTAGACCCATATGAATCGATACGCTTTCTTCAAACGCAAGGTAGGCATCGCCAGTCTCTCAAACAATATCTCACGTGGGTATTCTTCACGCCGCTGAACGGTCAGTCGCGGAATACTGATACGAGCACTGTCGTGTATACTGGAGATGGCTACCAAACCTTTGATGAACGTGTATGCATCTGTTGATTCGTGAAAGGCATAAGCCTTGAGGTTGAGGCCATGGTACGGCTCGTCTGAAAAGCTCAATGTCCATGCCTAAGCAGCAACATGGACTGGAAAAAGGTGCAGGATGACTTTACTGGTCGGAAGACCAATGCCTGCCTACCGCGTCCTCCTGGGGCGAGCTTGCAGGATAGCCAGACTCAGATACTGAGCGGCCGAAACTTACCTCCCTCTTCCAATCCGCATGCTTAGCAGAACGACACGAATTTTGAATTAGAGAGTCCAATTGGGTCTAACATTCCACTCGTAGAGCACTCGCCACTGCCCTCAGAGCATTCACTGAATAGCACCCGGTATTCCTCTCATATCACTGGATAGCACTCGGTAATCCTCTCATATCACTGCATAGCACTCGGGAATGCTTTACAGCATTCAACTGAATTCATTCCACGTACGCAAATCTATCCTTGTATTTACCAGCCAATTGCCAGCATCCACCTCGAACAAATGGGCCATTCCTAATATACTCCGAATATTCACGACCCACATCCTCTTCCTCCTCCTCCTACAGACTTTCAGCAGCCCATGTGAGCTATCAGCGATACCACGATCCTTCGCCTCAAGCAGCTCAACTACACATAGTCTATGTGCGCGCCCTGTGCTATCCCGTACCTTGAACAGAGCCTCCACTCGTCCTGGTAAGCGTCCCCGAAACACTCCCCACTGCTCTGAGGAACCTACCGATACCCATGCCCAATCCTTTCTTATTTTCCCCTTCCTAAAGATAATGTTCCTGTACACCTGATTTTGTGAACCTCGTATACGTCAGGTCTTTGGAATATTGGTATCGGAACCTGCAAACATGTGAAAACCTCCACCCGACGCTCCAAAATGCTCTCAGAGCTTCGGGCAAAGCTCTGAGAGCATCCCGCATCCTCGGCATACTCCTTTATCAGGCGATACAGCGTGATATGGCTCATTTGCAGTCCATCTGCCACGTTGAAAAGTCTTTCCGATTTCGAGGAGGGATTGCAAAGACGCTTCAGGGGCAGTCCGCTTTCTACTATTGAGCGTTCATTCGGCGTTTTCCTGCGGTCCTCGATTTCAAAAATGTCGAGCAACTCCTTGAGGTTATCCCGATGGCTCCAGAGGATGTCGTCAGTGCTCTCAGGACCTCCGACGATATCTTTCAGATTTAGAATTCGGATCTCTAACGCCAATCGCCTCCCTCCATAGTCCAGTATCTGCGTCGCAGCATCAACCTTGTTGGACGCTCTGTAAGCTTCTTTTACCTGCCGTACATGGGCAAGCTCGCTGACGTCCGTGGAGTATTGAGGAATGCTCCCGAAGCGCTCAACGTGCTCCCGGTAGTGCATTAAGACGTGCAATTTGATGTAGTTGAAGTGCGATCTTTCCCGAATCTCCCGGATCTCCTCCAAGCCTCGTTGGGTGCTCTGGGAGCGTTGCTGGGTGCTCTGGGAGCTAGTTACTGCTTTCGTTCGATCTCTCGCATCCTTTAACGTCTTCTTGTACGCCCTGAATTCTAAAAAGATATCCTTGTGTTTATGGAAATCCTCGAGATAGTTCTCCATATAGTTCAGTGTGCTCGTTGTATGACTCCCGTATTGCGCCATTAAGTGGAAGTCTATTAGGCTTCGAACACATTTCAACGCTTTTGCGAAGTCGCTCCTGGCAGCCACTCCCGGGTTTCTCAGAGCAGCCGCGAGTGCTCCAAGAACGACCCGCCCCAGATTGCGCATCTCTTTCCCTTGCCATTGGGTGGTAGAACGATATGCTTTGTTTGGTACTGCCAGCCCAGGGTAAGGCGCAATCGAAGCCCAAGCGCTGTCGAACTCCTTCAATCGGTGATGCTTCTTCAAGAAGCCCTGAATCCACTCCATCATGTGCTTCAACATCCACAGGTAGATATTGTGCAATATGTCCGGTTTATTGAGATCGTACGGATTAACCCTCGGTATACCCCAGAAAGCATTGAAGAGTGTTTTGACCGATCTCGCAACAAGGTATTCTACCGGTTCCAGGTTGCCCGGATTCTCGCTAAATAGCTGTACTCTCTCCCTGTAGTCCTCGTGACTGCGCATAGAGCTTCGACGAGTGCTCCCAAGATTGTGAAACTCCACCTCGCATCTTGGGCAAGCACTAGTGCTAATGTTTTGCAAGTTTGAATGCTCGGGTTGGTCAGCGATCCAGCCCGAGAGCACCGGAAAGCATAGTCGTTCGTAGCCATCGGCGATTTGATTAACTCGCCCTCCTGAGAGCACTCGCGAATGCTTTGAAAGATCTCCCCAAGAGCGCGGTGCAGCGCCATTTGACTCTGACGTCGTAAAACGGAGTTAGCGAGTGTTGTATTCTTCCCGAGCTTCGGTGGCACAGGTAGAAGCCCTAGGAGAATGAATGAATGCCCTGTGGGCTTGTTGCGCACCGACGACTTGATGTTCCCGATGGTAAGATAGATTGGCCAGGCTTTCTTGTCCCCGCTAAAATTTGTCAGATGTGTGCCATCCGACGCGCAGATAATTGGTACGACAGTGGACCCCTCCGGTAACGTATTCTATCGAGAAAGCATTAGCGACATCTCCTGGAGTACTCGGAGTTCAAGTTGAGAGGGCGAGGCCTACGGACCTGTATCTCCCACCACCAATCTCCTGTATGCATTTCCCCGTACATTCGCTCGCCGAATTCATTATGCTCCACCACCGGCGAGTACACCAATGACTCCCGGAAGGCACGTTGCCCCAAAAGATATCGGACGACTACCATTGGATCCCGGTAGTAGTAAGAGATCTTCTCCCCCCCAATATCCACCTCCGAATGATTCCAGCTCGACTTTCCCAATATGTCGTTCATTTCCTCCAGCCTCTTGATATAACCTCGCCCAGTGCTGTAGGAGCACTCGTCACTGCTTGGCGGAGCGTGTAGAAAGAAGCTGTCGATGTTTCCCTGGGAGGCTTTGGACAGTACGAAATACCTTGCCATTCTGAACTCGTATGCTGACCTGAATGGGTGCCATGGGTATCGGAGAAGGCTCTGTGAGCATTCGTCGTAGTCCTCCGAGCGGTAAAGTGGTTCCCCAGCACCCTCATAAACTGTTGTAGATGCCTTATGTCCATTTAAATCGCCGTCTGCCTCTTCCATCACGAAATATGATTCAGATTCTAGGTCCGAATTGTTACCGGAATCTTGGTCAAAACTATCCGACTCCGAAGCGTAATGCGTGTCTGAATAGCAGTCGGGAATGCTCTCTGGGCTTTCATCAGTGTCGTCGGGAGTCTCCGCAGGTTGATCGT